TTTGGGGGTCTCGAGTGCCACTTTGGGGGTCTCAGATGACAGTTTGGGGGTCTCAGGTGCCAATTTTGAGGTCTCAGATGCTGATCTGGGGGTCTCAGGTGCCAATTTTGGGGGTTTTAGGTGCCAATTGAGGGGATTTGAGTGCAAATTTGGGTGCCTCAGATGCCACTTTGGGGTCTCAGGTGCCACTTTGGGGGTCTCAGGTGCCAATTGAGGGGATTCAAGTGCGAATTTGGGGGTCTCAGGTGCCACTTTGGGGGTCTCAGGTGCCAATTGAGGGGATTCAAGTGCGAATTTGGGGGTCTCAGGTGCCAATTTGGTGCCGATAAAAACGATATAAATATAAAATAAACCCGACATAAATACAAAACAAACCCCATACAAACATGAAATTAAAAAATAAAAACCTCAATAAAATACAATTTTAACCTCATTTTAAGCCCCCGTGTCCCCCCCGAGCACACTGAGCCCTTTCAGAGCGGCACAAAGGGACAAAGGGACATTGAAGGGACATTGAAGGGACATTGAAGGGACACTGGCCCGAGCCAGGCGGGCACAAAGGGACCTTTCAGTGCCACCAGGGCCGGCGGGGAGAATCCCAAAACCCGGGGGAAATGCCACGGGGAGGGGACAGAATTCCTAAAAACCCAGGGAAATTCCCGTGGGGATCTGTGCCACCATAATTCCTAAAAAATCCAGGTTGGACCCGGCAGGGATTGAGGAAATTTCACGGGGAAATTCCTAAAAAATCCAGGTTGGACCCGGCAGGGATTGAGGAAATTTCACGGGGAAATTCCTAAAAAATCCAGGTTGGACCCGGCGGGGATTGAGGAAATTTCCCGGGGAGGGGGAGTCAGAATTCCTAAAAAAATCCCGGATCTGGCTGGGTTGGGGGGGACATCGGGTGGGGAGGGGGGGTGTCAGAATTCCTAAAAAATCCAGGTTGGACCCGGCAGGGATTGAGGAAATTTCACGGGGAAATTCCTAAAAAATCCAGGTTGGACCCGGCAGGGATTGAGGAAATTTCCCGGGGAGGGGGAGTCAGAATTCCTAAAAAAATCCAGGATCTGGCTGGGATTGGGGAAATTCTCATGGGGATTTCTGGCAAAAGAACTCCTAAAAATCCAGGTTGGGTCTGGCTGGGTTTGGGTTTGGGGGTCTCGAGTGCCACTTTGGGGGTCTCAGATGACAGTTTGGGGGTCTCAGGTGCCAATTTTGAGGTCTCAGATGCTGATCTGGGGGTCTCAGGTGCCAATTTTGGGGGTTTTAGGTGCCAATTGAGGGGATTTGAGTGCAAATTTGGGTGCCTCAGATGCCACTTTGGGGTCTCAGGTGCCACTTTGGGGGTCTCAGGTGCCAATTGAGGGGATTCAAGTGCGAATTTGGGGGTCTCAGGTGCCAATTTGGTGCCGATAAAAACGATATAAATATAAAATAAACCCGACATAAATACAAAACAAACCCCATACAAACATGAAATTAAAAAATAAAAACCTCAATAAAATACAATTTTAACCTCATTTTAAGCCCCCGTGTCCCCCCCGAGCACACTGAGCCCTTTCAGAGCGGCACAAAGGGACAAAGGGACATTGAAGGGACATTGAAGGGACACTGGCCCGAGCCAGGCGGGCACAAAGGGACCTTTCAGTGCCACCAGGGCCGGCGGGGAGAATCCCAAAACCCGGGGGAAATGCCACGGGGAGGGGACAGAATTCCTAAAAACCCAGGGAAATTCCCGTGGGGATCTGTGCCACAATAATTCCTAAAAAATCCAGGTTGGACCCGGCAGGGATTGAGGAAATTTCACGGGGAAATTCCTAAAAAATCCAGGTTGGATCTGGCTGGGATTGAGGAAATTTCACGGGGAGGGGGGGTGTCAGAATTCCTAAAAAATCCAGGTTGGATCTGGCAATTCCTAAAAACCCAGGGAAATTCCCGTGGGGATCTGTGCCACCATAATTCCTAAAAAATCCAGGTTGGACCCGGCAGGGATTGAGGAAATTTCACGGGGAAATTCCTAAAAAATCCAGGTTGGACCCGGCAGGGATTGAGGAAATTTCACGGGGAGGGGGAGTCAGAATTCCTAAAAAAATCCAGGATCTGGCTGGGATTGGGGAAATTCTCATGGGGATTTCTGGCAAAAGAACTCCTAAAAATCCAGGTTGGGTCTGGCTGGGTTTGGGGAAATTCCCATGCGGACTTCTGGCAAAAGAACTAAAAATCCAGGTTGGATCTGGGAGGGATTAGAGGAATTCCCATGGGAATTTCTGGCAAAAGAATTCCTAAAAATCCAGGTTGGATCTGGCTGGGTTTGGGGAAATTCCAGGGGGATTTCTGCTACAATAATTCCTAAAAAATCCAGGTTGGATTTGGGAGGGATTGGGAAAATTCCAGGGGGATTTCTGGCAAAATAATTCCTAAAAAAATCCAGGCTGGATTTGGGAGGGACTGGGAAAATTCCAGAGGGATTTCTGTCACAATAATTCCTAAAAAATCCAGGCTGGATTTGGGAGGGACTGGGAAAATTCCAGGGGGATTTCTGTCACAATAATTCCTAAAAAATCCAGGTTGGACCCAGCTGGGATTGGTGACAAGGACACTGCAGGAGTGACATCAGACTCAGCCTGTTACAGAGAATTATTTGTATTTTTATTTCTTTTTATTAGTATTCTTTTTAATTCTTTATTATTTTGGGGTTTTCCCTCTCGCCAGCAGCCAGCCCAGGGATTTTTATCCCAAAGGGAATTGTCAGAAGGGCTGGAGGATGATGCAGAATTTGGGATGGATCCGTGGAGATTTTGGAACTTCCCCTTCCCACTCTCCCCAGCCCACCCCAAAAATTCCAGGGACAGAGATCCAGGAACAAATTCCATTTCTTGGGAATGGCTCAGGTGCTCTGGGGATCTCCTTGGAGCAGAGTTCTGGGCTCAGGTGGGGCTTGAAACCCAAAATTTCACCCCAAATTTGGGGGCTCCCACAGGAGCTGGGGTGCAGAGGGGGTTTCCTGGGTTCCAGAGGGGATTTTTTGGGTCCCAAAGGGGAAATTTTTGGGTTCCAGGGGGGTTATTTGAGTTCCAGAGGAGATTTTTGGGTCCTAAAGGGGATTTCTTGGGTCCCAAAGGGGAAATTTTTGGGTTCCAGGGGGGTTATTTGAGTTCCAGAGGAGATTATTTGGGTCTCAAAGGGATTTTTTGGATCCCAAAGGGGATTTTTTTTGGATCCCAAGGGGGATTTCTTTTGGATCCCAAGGGGGATTTTTTTTGGGTCCCAAAGGGGATTTTTTGGGTCCCAAAGGGGATTTTTTGGGTCCCAAAGGGGATTTTTTGGGTCCCAAAGGGGATTTTTTGGGTCCCAAAGGGGATTTCCTGGGTCCTAAAGGGGATTTCCTGGGTCCCAGGGGGATTATTTGAGTTCCAGAGGAGATTATTTGGGTCCCAAAGGGAATTTTTTGGGCCCCAGGGTGATTTTTTGTGTTCCAAAGGGATTTTTTTGGGTCCCAGGGGGATTTTTTGGGTCCCAGGGGGATTTTTTGGGTCCCAAAGGGGATTTTCCAGGCTCAGGCACTGGGTGCATATTGCAGGGCCAGGCGGTCAAAGTCGTTCTCCTGCAACCACAGCCAAAAACAAATGGATTAAATTAATCACTAATTAATCATTAATGAATTATTACCAATCAATCATCCTCCAGTCCACATTTCTCACCCTCCTCTACCTGAACACACCACAATCAGCTCCCTAAAACTAAATTCATTCCAGCAGCAAATCCCATTTATCCCTTTTTTATCATTTTTTATCATTTGCTTCTTTTCCCTTCCCCTCTCCCCAAATTCCCTCTCCCATTTTTTTTTTTTCCTGTTCTGAGCACAAAATTTCCACCTGGATTAAAAAAATCTGCATTTTTTTTTTTTCTTCCAGGCTTGGGATTCCCAAAAGGAAAAACTCAACGAGATGGAGCTGCCCCCCTTGGGATTTGTTTGGAAAGAACCCCCTGATAGGAGAAAATTCAATTTATTTCATTTATTTCTATCATTATTTCTATTTTCTGCCATTCCTTACCTTGGCCTGGTACTCCTTGATGAAGGGATGGTTTTTGTGAGCATCTTTAAGCTGGGACAGGTAACGATTGGTGACCTGGAGGGACAAAAAAAATTCAATTTTCAGATGGCAGAGTGGAACAAATCCCACCTAAATGTGAGGTTTTTTTTACACCTAAAATCCTGAATTTCTCACTGTCCCAGTTCAAACCAGTAGGAGCCATGCACACACTTGAAATAAAAAAATAAAACTCTTCAAAATCAACTTCCCAAAAAAAAAAATAAAATCAGGAAGAGGTGAACTTGGAACTCCAAAGGTTTTTTCTGCCCAGTTTTTTTTTTTTTTTTCTCACTAGTCTGGAATTCTGGAATGGTTTGGGTTGGAAGGGACCTCAAGGATCAAGGAATTCCATGGGAAAAATCAAATCCCCCAAATCCCAAACAGATCCCTGGGGCTGTGAGCTCCCCATCCCCAAAATGGTCCCAAAATGAGCCCATTTACCCCAAAATGGTCCCAAAATGAGCCCCTTTACCCCAAAATGATGCCATTTATCCCCAAAATGATCCCAAAATGACCTCCATTCACCCCAAAATTATCCCATTTATCCCCAAAATGACCCCATTCACCCCAAAATGACTCCCTTTACCCCCAAATGACCCCATTTATCCCCAAAATGATCCCATTTACCTCAAAATGGTCCCAAATTGAGTCCATTCACCCCAAAATGACCCCACTTAACCCAAAATGATGCCACAATGACCCCACTTACCCCAAAATGACCCCATTTACCCCCAAATGATCCCAAAATGACTCCCTTTACCCCCAAATGACCCCATTCACCCCAAAATGATCCCACTTAACCCAAAATGATCCCACAATGACCCCACTTACCCCAAAATGACCCCATTTACCCCCAAAATGATCCCAAAATGACCCCATTCACCCCAAAATGACCCCAAATCACCCCCAAATGACCCCACAATGACCCCATTCCCCCCCATCCTGACCCCATTCCCCCAGCCCGACCCCATTTCCCCCCATTGCCCAGCCAGCCCCGCTCACCTCGGGGGCCTTGCCCAGGTGCTGGGACAGCACCACCAGGTTCAGCAGGGTCTCGGGGTGCCCGCTGTCCTGCAAGAGAGGGTGAGCCAGGAAAAACAGCCCAGACAGGACCTGGGAACAAAACAGCCCAGACAGGACCTGGGAACTCCTGGGAAAAACAACCCAGACAGGACCTGGGAACTCCTGGGAAAAACAACCCAGACAGGACCTGGGAACTCCCGGAAAAATACAACCCAAACAGGACCTGGGAACTCCTGGGAACTCCTGCCCCAGACAGGACCTGGGAACTCCTGGGGAAAAACAACCCAGACGGACCTGGGAACTCCTGGGGAAAAACAACCCAGACAGGACCTGGGAACTCCTGGGATGGGATTCCCACACAAACCCCATGGCTGGAGTGTCCCAGCATGGCCTGCACCACCTGGGCTTGTGGAGGTGGAATGGAATGATAATAAAATTAAAATAAATAAAATAAAATAAATAGGGGAAAAACAACCCAGACAGGACCTGGGAACTCCTGGGATGGGATTCCCACACAAACCCCATGGCTGGAGTGTCCCAGCATGGCCTGCACCACCTGGGCTTGTGGAGGTGGAATGGAATGATAATAAAATTAAAATAAATAAAATAAAATAAATAATAATAAAAAAATAAAATAACCAATAAAATAAAATAACCAATAAAATAAAATAACCAATAAAATAAAATAAAATTAAAATAAAATAACCAATAAAATAAAATAACCAATAAAATAGAACCAATAAAATTTAATAAAATAAAATACAATATAATAAATAAAATACAGAATTAAATAGAACTCAATATGAAATAAAATATAAAATACAATCAAATACTAAAACAAAATAAAATATTATAAAACAAAGTACAATGAAATGAAATAAATAAAACAAAACAAACAAAATAAAATAAAATAAAATAAAATAAAATAAAATAAAATAAAATAAAATAAACCACTCTGCAAGGCCAAGCACAGCGAGGTGGATCCATAAATTGCCACTGCTGTGGATTGGGGCAGGAGAACTCCTGGGGATTGGGGCTGTCCCCTGTCCCCGTGGGGGCCCTCTGGGCTGTCCCTGTGGGATTGGGGCTGTCCCCTCTCCCTGTGGGGACATTTTGGGCTGTCCCCTGTCCCCGTGGGGACCCTCTGGGCTGTCCCCTGTCCCCTGTACCTTGTCCAGAGCCTCCTGGAGCAGCCCCTCGGCCTCGTCCCAGCGGCCCTGGGCCATGGCAGCAGCAGCCTGGCCGTTGAGCAGCAGCAGCGAGGGGCAGTACCTGTCTGCCAGCTCCTGGAAGGTGTAGAAGGCATCCTGCAGCTTCTCCCCACCCTGCAAGGGCAGCAGGACAGCCTGGGTCAGCCCTGGGCTGGGAAATCCTGATTTACATCTTTGGGTCAGCCCTGGGCTGGGAAATCCTGATTTACATCTTTGGGGTCAGCCCTGGGCTGGGAATTCCTGATTTAGATCCTCAGGGTCATCCCTGACCTGGGAATTCCTCATTTAGATCCTCAGGGTCATGGGAATTCCTCATTTACAGCCAAGGGTCATCCCTGACCTGGGAATGCCTCATTTACAGCCAGGGTCACCCCTGGGCAGGGAAATCCTGATTAGGAGTTCATTTAATGGGAACCCAAGGTGTGACCCTGGATCCAGGAATTGGAGGAGTTTGTTTCCATCCCTCCTGCACCCCCAAACTCTGTTTTTGCCCCATTTCCAAACCTCTTTAAGGACATTTTGTGTCCTGGAGTCTGGATGGGGGCAGCAGAGCAGCTCCCTGGGGTATTTGGGGATGTTTTGGGGATCTTTTGGACCATCTGGCACCCACCACGGCCAGGTTCACCCAGGCTGTGGCCAGCTGGGTCAGGGTGGCATCCTCATCCTGCTCCTGCATTTTCTTCAGCTCCTTCCTGCAGGAAAAATGGGAATCACAAAGGAAAAGGGATTTCAGCATGAAACAAAACAAAAAAAAAAAAATTGGGGGTTTTCCCCTTGAGTTTTCTGTGTTTTAGCTCATCAGGAGAGGCCTGGTTTGACTCCTGGAAATGGGAAAAGAGAAGGAGAAAAAGGAGGATGGAAAGGAGAAGGAGAAGGGAAAAGGGAAAGGGAAATTGAAAAAGGGAAAGGGAAAAGGAAAAGGGAAAAGGGAAAGGAAAAAGGAAAAAGGGAAAAGGGAAAAGAAAAAGGGAAAGAAAAAGGGAAAAGGAAAAAGAGAAAGGGAAAAAGTGAAAAAGGGAAAAGGAAAAAGGGAAAAGGAAAAAGGGAAAAGGAAAAAGGGAAAAGGAAAAAGGGAAAAGGGAAAAGGGAAAAGGGAAAAGGGAAAAGGGAAAAGGGAAAAGGGAAAAGGGAAAAGGGAAAAGGGAAAAGGGAAAAGGGAAGGCCAATCCCACCTGGCCAGGTCGAGTCTGTCGAGCTTCAGCAGGATCTGGATCATCATGGCCAAGCTGCAGGGACAGGAGAACAGGGACACAGCTGGATTCCCAGCCCAGGAACATCTGCACAGGGCTCAGGGACACCTGGGATGGTCCTGGGGGTCCCTCCTCACCCCAAACCCCACCTGGGATGGTCCTGGGGGGTCCCTCCTCACCCCAAACCCCACCTGGGATGGTCCTGGGGGTCCCTCCTCACCCCAAACCCCACCTGGGATGGTCCTGGGGGTCCCTCCTGACCCCAGCTCTGAGCCCTGGAGCTGCTCCAGCTCCTTCCCAGCTCAGATCCCACATGGATCAATATCCAATATCCAATGGTCTGGGATAAAATGGGGAAGAAAATGGGGGGAAATAGGGAGAAAATGGGGAAAAGGGGGGAAAATGGGAGGGAAATATGGGGAGAGAAATTCAGGGAGAAATTCAGGGAGAAAATGGGAGAAAAAAGGGGAGAAAATGGGGGAATGGAGGAAAATGGGGAAGAAAATGGGAGAGAAAATGGGAGAGAAAATGGGAGAGAAAATGGGAGAGAAAATGGGAGAGAAAATGGGAGAGAAAAAAATGGGATAAAATGGGAGAAAACACAGGAGAAAATGGGGGAGAAAACAGGGGGAATGGAGGAAAATGGGGGAGAAAATGGGAAAAATGGGAGAAAAAAATGGGAGAAAAAAATGGGAGAAAAAAATGGGAGAAAAAAATGGGAGAAAAAAATGGGAGAAAAAAATGGGAGAAAAAAATGGGAGAAAAAAATGGGAGAAAAAAATGGGAGAAAAAAATTGGGGGATAAAATGGGAGGAAAAAATGGGAGAAAAAAATGGGAGAAAAAAATGGGAGAAAAAAATGGGAGAAAAAAATGGGAGAAAAAAATGGGAGAAAAAAATGGGAGAAAATGGGGGGAATGGAGGAAAATGGGGAAGAAAATGGGGAGCAAATGGGGGAGAAGCTGTGGCTGGTCCCTCCCTGGAAGGGTCCAGGCCAGGCTGGAGCACCCTGGCACACTGGAAGGGATCCCTGCACCCCGAAGCCCCTGGGAGTGCAGCACTGTGGCACCCAGGGCACCCAGGGCACCCTCACCTCTGGCTGTCGCTGGCCAGGAACTGAGCAAACATCCTGACAGCCTGCAGCTCGGGGCTGGGGCTGCCCTGCAGCTCGTCCAGAACCACCCCAAACTTCCTCTGCAACACAGCACGGGGAGAGGGGGGACAGCGACGAGGAGCAGAGCGAGGAGAGGGGAAAGAAGGAAGAGAAAGGAAGAGAAAGGAAAAGCAGGAAAGGGGAGAAAAGAAGGAAAAGAAAGGAAGGAGGAGAAGGAGGAGAAGGAGGAGAAGGAGGAGAAGGAGGAGAAGGAGGAGAAGGAGGAGAAGGAGGAAGGGAACGAAGAGAAGGGAGAGCAGGAGAAGAAAGGAAAAGAAAGGAAGGAAAAGCAGGAAAGGGAAGAAAGACAGGAAAAAGGAGAAGAAAGGAAAAGAAAGGAAGGAAAAGCAGGAAAGGGAAGAAAAGAAGGAAAAGAAAGAAAAGCAGGAAAGGAAGGAAAGACAGGAAAAGAAGCAGGAAAAGAAGCAGGAAAGGAAAGGAAAGGAAAGGAGGAAAGGAAGAAAGAGAAGGAGAAAAAGGAAAAGCAGGACAAGAAGGATGAACAAAAATCAAGAAATGCAGGAAGTGAAGGAAGAGAAAGAAGAGAAGGGAAGGAAGAGAAAGAAGAGAAGGGAGAGCAGGGAAGGAAGGAAAGGAAGGAGAAGAAGGAGGAGAAGGAGGAGAAGGAGGAGAAGGAGGAGAAGGAGGAGAAGGAAGAGAAGGAAGAGAAGGAAGAGAAGGAAAATAAAAAAAAATCAGAAAGAGAAGGAAATGAAGGGAGAAGGGAGGGAAGGGAGGGAAGAGAAGGGAGGTTCAGGTTAGAGCAGAACTCTCAAAGATCTGCAGGGACAGGAGCAGGGAATGGATTTGGGATTTGGGATGGGAATTCCAGGGCACAGGGAATGGATTTGGGATTTGGGATGGGAATCCCAGGACACAGGGAATGGATTTGGGATGGAATTCCAGGACCCAGGGAATGGGTTTGGGATTTGTGATGGAATTCCAGGACCCAGGGAATGGATTTGGGATGGGAATTCCAGGACCCAGGGAATGGATTTGGGATGAGGGATTGAATCCCAGGACCCAGGGAATGGATTTGGGATTTGTGAGGGAATTCCAGGACACAGGGAATGGATTTGGGATGGAATTCCAGGGCACAGGGAATGGATTTGGGATTTGGGATGGAATGCCAGGGCACAGGGAATGGATTTGGGATTTGGGATGGAATGCCAGGGCACAGGGAATGGGTTTAAACTGGAAAGGGGAATGTGGGTGGGATTTGGGCAGGAATTCCAGGCTGGAATTCCCAAAGCAACTGAGGCTGCCCCTGGATCCCTGGGCAGGGACTGGGGGCAGGGTGAGGGGTCCCCGGTGGGCAGGGGGCACAGTGAGGGGTCCCTGGCACTCAGGGGGGCACAGTGAGGGGTCCCTGGCACTCAGGGGGCCCAGTGAGGGGTCCCTGGCGGGCAGGGGGGCACAGTGAGGGGTCCCTGGCACTCAGGGGGCCCAGTGAGGGGTCCCTGGCGGGCAGGGGGGCACAGTGAGGGGTCCCTGGCACTCAGGGGGGCACAGTGAGGGGTCCCTGGCACTCAGGGGGGCACAGTGAGGGGTCCCTGGCGGGCACAGTGAGGGGTCCCTGGCGGGCAGGGGGGCACAGTGAGGGGTCCCTGGCACTCAGGGGGCACAGTGAGGGGTCCCTGGCGGGCAGGGGGGCACAGTGAGGGGTCCCTGGCGGGCAGGGGGCACAGGCTGGGCCCTGCCCCCTCCCCAGGCTCACCTGGGCGATGTAGGCTCGGAACAGGAACACGTCCCGCTCGGCCTCCTTCTGGGGGCTGCTGGGCTGGGGGGGACAGCGACCCTCAGGGACCCCAAAACAGCCCCATAAAACCAGTCCCACAGAAAAACCCCACACCAACAGCCCCATAGACCCCACCCCACACCAACCCCTCCTTCTGGGGGCTGCTGGGCTGGGGGAGACAGAGACCCTCAGGGAGGGGTCCCTGGCGGGCAGGGGGGCACAGTGAGGGGTCCCTGGCGGGCAGGGGGCACAGGCTGGGCCCTGCCCCCTCCCCAGGCTCACCTGGGCGATGTAGGCTCGGAACAGGAACACGTCCCGCTCGGCCTCCTTCTGGGGGCTGCTGGGCTGGGGGGGACAGCGACCCTCAGGGACCCCAAAACAGCCCCACACACCAACAGCCCCATAGAAAAACCCCATAAACCCCATCCTACAAAACCCACCCCACACCAACCCCTCCTTCTGGGGGGATGCTGGGCTGGGGTGGACAGCGACCCTCAGAGACCCCAAAACAGCCCCATGCAAACGGCCCCGGGAAACTGGGACCCTCAGAGACCCCAAAATAGCCCCATGCAAACGGCCCCATAAAACCAGACCCACAGAAAAACCCCACAAAACCCACAGCCCCATAAAACCCGCCCCACACCAACCCCTCTTTCTGGGGGGGGGAAGAAACAGGGACCCTCAGGGACCCCCAAAACAGCCCCACACACCAACAGCCCCATAAAACCCATCCTACAAAACCAGCCCCACACAAAACAGCCCCATAAAACCCGCCCCACACGAATCAGCCCCACACAAACCCACCCTATAAAACCCGCCCCGCACAAACCCTCCCGGGCCCCGGCCAGCGCCGCCCAGCCGTGCCCGACCTTGGCCCGCTGCGCCTCGTTGATGGCGGCCTGGTAGGCGCCGATGTAGAAGTTGTTGCGGAGGTCGAAGAGCTCGTCCGCCTCCCCAGCCGGCGCCGCGCCCGCCATCGCCCTCAGACACGTCCCCGGAAGCGCCCGCGCCGCGGGGCATGCCGGGACCCGCTGTCTCCATGGAAACCGCCAATAGCAACGCGAGGAGGGCGAGACGTCAGCAAAGCGACGCGCGGCGCTGCGTGTGGGCGGGGTTAGAGCGAGCCGGCCAATGAGCGCCGCGCGCGGCGGTGACGCCATCGGGGCGCGCGGAGAGGAGCGCGGCCATGGCGGAGTTCCGGGCGCTCGGGCTGGCGCCGTGGCTGGCGGAGCAGGCGCGGCAGGTGGGGCTGCTCCGGCCCACGCCCGTGCAGGCCGCCTGCATCCCGGCCGTGCTGCAGGGTGAGCGCTCGGGAGGGGAACGCCGCTCCCGGTTCCCGCCCCACCGCCGGGAACGGCCCCTCGTGGTCCCCATCCCTCCTTCGGGCCCGGCCGTTCTCTCTCCCCGCCGCGCTCCTTTCCCCGGTCTCGGTCCGGCCGTTCTCTCTCCCCGCCGCGCTCCTTTCCCCGGTCTCGGTCCAGCCGTTCCCCTCTCGTTTCCGTTCCCTTTCCCCCTCCCGTGCCCCGTTCTCCGGTCCCATTCCCCGTTCCTCTTTCCTCCTCCCGTTCTCGGTCCCGTTTCCCATTCCCCTTTCCCCCTCCCGTGCCCGGTTCCCCGTTCCTGTTCCTGGTCCCTTTTCCCGGTCCCATTTCCCATTCCCGTTTCCCGTTCCCGGTTCCCCGTTCCCGGTCCCTTTTCCCGTTCCCTTTCCCCATTCCCGGTTTCCGTTCCCCTGTCCCATTCCCCGGTTCCGTTCCCCATTCCCCTTTCCCCGTTTTCGGTTCCCCGGTCCCTTTCCCCGGTTCTCCGTTCCCGTTTCCCTTTCCCCAGTTCCCCGTTCTCGGTTCCCCGTTCCTGTTCCCCGTTCCCTTTCCCCGTTTCCCGTTCCCGTTTCCCTTTCCCCGGTTCCCCTTTCCCCGTTCTCGGTTCCCGTTTCTCTTTCCCCATTCCCCGTTTCCCTTTCCCTGTTCCCGGTTCCCCGTTCCCGTTTCCCTTTCCCCGGTTCCCCGTTCCTGTTTCCCTTTCCCCTTTCCCCGGTTCCCTGTTCCCTTTCCCCGGTTCCCTTTCCCCGTTCCCTGTTCCCTTTCCCCGTTCCCGGTTCCCTTTCCCGTTTCCCCGTTCCCTTTTTCCGTCCCCGGTTCCCCGTTCCCTTTCCCCATTCCCGGTTCCCTTTCCCCGATTTCCCGCTTCCCCGTTCCCGGTTCCCTTTCCCCGTTTCCCTTTCCCCATTCCCGGTTCCCCGTTCCCGTTTCTCTTTCTCCGATTTCCCTTTCCCCGTTCCCTGTTCCCTTTCCCCATTCCCGGTTCCCGTTTCTCTTTCCCCGATTTCCCTTTCCCCCTTTCCCCGTTCCCGGTTCCCTTTCCCCGGTTCCCTTTCCCCGGTTCCCTTTCCCCCGTTCCCTTTCCCCGTTCCCCGTTCCCGTTCCCCGTTCCCTTTCCCCGTTCCCTTTCCCCGTTCCCGTTTCCCCGTTCCCCTTTCCCCGTTCCCTTTCCCCGTTTCCCTTTCCCCGTTTCCCTTTCCCCGGTTCCCTTTCCCCGGTTCCCTTTCCCCGTTCCCGGTTCCTGTTTCCCTTTCCCCATTTCCCTTTCCCCGTTCCCTTTCCCCATTCCCGGTTCCCGTTTCCCTTTCCCCGTTCCCTTTCCCCGTTCCCCGTTCCCGGTTCCCCGTTCCCTTTCCCCGTTCCCTTTCCCCGTTCCCCGTTCCCGGTTCCCTGTTCCCTTTCCCGGTTCCCGTTCCCCGTTCCCGGTTCCCTTTCCCCGTTCCCTGTTCCCTTTCCCCGGTTTCCCGTTCCCGGTTCCCGTTGCCCTTTCCCCATTCCCGGTTCCCCGGTTTCCCGTTCCCGGTTCCCTTTCCCCGTTCCCCATTTCCCTTTCCCCGGTTTCCCGTTCCCTGTTCCCGTTCCCGGCGCTGACGCCGCCCCCGCCCGCAGGCCGGGACTGCCTGGGCTGTGCCCAGACGGGCAGCGGCAAGACGGCGGCGTTCGTGCTGCCGGTGCTGCACGTGCTCGCCGAGGATCCCTACGGCATCTTCTGCCTCGTGCTCACCCCCACCCGGTACCGGCACCGCGGGGGGACCGGGGGGAGCTCGGGGGAGCCCCGGGGAACTGGGGGCAGCCATGGGGAGAACTGGGGGGAGCTCTGGGGGATTTGGGGGAACCCTGGGGAGCCCGGGGGAAGCTGGGCAGAGCTCTGGGGTGAGCCCTGGGGAGCTGGGGGGAGTTCTGGGGGAGCCCTGGGGTGGTGGGGGGAGCTCTGGGGAATTGGGGGGAGCCCTGAGGAGCTCTGGGGGAGCTTGGGGCAATGGGGGGAGCCCTGGGGAGTTCTGGGGAATTTGGGGGAACCCTGGGGAGGTGTGGGGAGCCCGGGGGAAGCTGATTGGGGGAGCCCTGGGGAGGTGGGGGGAGCTCTGGGGAATTTGGGGGAGGTGGGAGGAGCTCTGGGGAATTTGGGGGAGCCCTGGGGAGGTGGGGGGAGCTCTGGGGAATTTGGGGGAGGTGGGAGGAGCTCTGGGGAATTTGGGGGAGCCCTGAGGAGCCCCGGGCAGCCGAGCTCACCCCCCCTGCAGGGAGCTGGCGTACCAGATCGCCGAGCAGTTCCGGGTGCTGGGCAAACCCCTGGGCCTCAAAGACTGCGTGGTGGTGGGCGGCCTCGGTGAGTCTGGGGGCTTCCTGCCCCGTTCCCGGTGTGCCCAGCCCTGTTCCCTGCCCCGTTCCCATCATTCCCGGCATTCCCAGCCCCATTCCCACTGTCCCCTGCCCCATTTCCAGTGTTCCCATCATTCCCAGCCCCATTCCCAGCCCTTTCCCATCATTCCTAGCTCACTCCCATGGTTCCCATGGTTCCCAGCTCCATTCCCAGCCCATTCCCATTGTTCCCATCGTTCCCAGCCCATTCCCATCATCTCAGTTCCCATGGTTCCCATGGTTCCCAGCCCATTCCCAGCATCACCGTTCCATGGTTCCCAGCCCCATTCCCATCATCCCAGTTCCCATGGTTCCCAGCCCATTCCCATCATCCCCAGCCCCGTTCCCATGGTTCCCATCCCCGTTCCCATCATCCCCATCCCCGTTCCCATGGTTCCCAGCCCCATTCCCAGCCCATTCCCATCATCTCAGTTCCCATGGTTCCCATGGTTCCCAGCCCCATCCCATGGTTCCCATCATTCCCAGCCCATTCCCGTCATCCCCATCCCTGTTCCCACGGTTCCCAGCCCATTCCCAGCATCCCCATTCCATGGTTCCCAGCCCATTCCCATCATCCCCATCCCCGTTCCCGCGGTTCCCAGCCCGTTCCCATCATCCCCATCCCTGTTCCCACAGTTCCCAGCCCCATTCCCATCATCCCCATCCCCGTTCCCATGGTTCCCAGCCCATTCCCATCATACTCATCCCATGGTTCCCAGCCCCATTCCCAGCCCATTCCCATCATCCCCATCCCCATCCCATGGTTCCCATCATTCCCAGCCCATTCCCATCATCCCCATCCCCGTTCCCACGGTTCCCAGCCCATTCCCAACATCCCCATTCCATGGTTCCCAGCCCCATCCCCATCCCATGGTTCCCATCATCCCCATCCCCATTCCCATGGTTCCCACGGTTCCCAGCCCATTCCCATCATCCCCATCCCCGTTCCCAGCCCATTCCCATCATCCCCATCCCGGTTCCCATCATTCCCAGCCCGTTCCCCGTGTGTCCCCAGACATGGTGGCGCAGGCCCTGGAGCTGTCCCGCCGGCCCCACGTGGTGGTGGCCACGCCCGGGCGCCTGGCCGACCACCTGCGCAGCAACGGCAGCGCCGCCAGCCTGCGCAGGGTCAGGTTCCTGGTGAGCACCCGGGGGTCCTGAGGGGGTACTGAGGGGGTCCCTGGGGATCCTGAGGGGTTCCCTGGGTGGATTTCTGGGAGTTCTGAGGGGTTCCCTGGGGATACTGAGGGGTCCCTTCCATCCCTGGGGATCCTGAGGGGGTCCCGGGGGTACTGAGGGATTCCCTGGGGATCCTGAGGGGGTCCCGGGGGTACTGAGGGGTACTGAGGGGGTCCCGGGGGTACTGAGGGGGTACTAGGGATTCCCTGGGGATCCTGAGGGGGTACTGAGGGATTCCCTGGGGATCCTGAGGGGGTCCCGGGGGTACTGAGGGGGTACTGAGAGGATCCCGGGGGTACTGAGGGGGTCCCTGGGGATCCTGAGGGGTTCCCTGGGTGGATTTCTGGGAGTTCTGAGGGGTTCCCTGGGGATCCTGAGGGGTCCCTTCCATCCCTGGGGGTACTGAGGGGTTTCCTCCATCCCTGGGGATCCTGAAGGGTTCCCTGGGGATACTGAGGGGTTCCCTGCACTGAGGGGTTCCCTGGGTGGATTTCTGGGTGGATTTCTGGGAGTTCTGAGGGGTTCCCTGGGGATCCTGAGGGGTCCCTTCCATCCCTGGGAGCACTGCGGGGTTTCCTGGGTGCTTGGGGGGGGTACTGAGGGGGGCCCGGGGGTACTGAGGGGGTACTAGGGATTCCCTGGGGATCCTGAGGGGGTACTGAGGGATTCCCTGGGGATCCTGAGGGGGTCCCGGGGGTACTGAGGGGGTACTGAGAGGATCCCGGGGGTACTGAGGGGGTCCCTGGGGATCCTGAGGGGTTCCCTGGGTGGATTTCTGGGAGTTCTGAGGGGTTCCCTGGGGATCCTGAGGGGTCCCTTCCATCCCTGGGGGTACTGAGGGGTTTCCTCCATCCCTGGGGATCCTGAAGGGTTCCCTGGGGATACTGAGGGGTCCCTTCCATCCCTGGGAATACTGAGGGGTTCCTTCCATCCCTGGGAATACTGAGGGGTTCCTTCTAGCCTTGGGCATCCTGAGGGGTTCCCTGGGTGGATTTCTGGGAGTTCTGAGGGGTTCCCTGGGGATCCTAAGGGGTTTCTTCCAGCCCTGGGAGCATTCCTGGGGATCCTGAGGGGTTCCCTGGGATCCTGAGGGATTCCCTGGAATGTGGAGGTTCCCTGGTGGCTTCCCTTGTGCATTTCCTGGTGGATT